AAGGAAATTGATGAACATCAAATACCACCCACAACTAAACCTGGCTATCTGTCTGTGTCCAGCGCTAGCGGGCATGATTGAGGATAAGAAGTTACCAAGGTCTACTTCTTTTCGCTGCCTCATCCCACAACCGTCTTCCCAAACCTAAGAAACAGAAATAAACATTGACCTATTTCTGAAACTGCTGCAGACTGCCATGTTTATACCCGCGATGACCTTTATGAATTGTCGCGGCACAAACATAAAACGGTATCGCTGCCGAGTTAATCGATTCCCAAGTAGCTAGGAACACAATTGTTTGTTGTTTGAAGAAACAAAAGCGTCTTGAAAACGGCGCAAGGTTGACCTGAGGAAGGTGATGACGTCAGAACTGTTGATAACCAATCACCAACCTTCATCAAGCAGGTCTTGAAAACCGGAATCACATTAAAGAGGAATTTATCAAGAAATTGATTTCTTATCATCATCTTTCATTTAATGAAAGTCTATTTTTATCAGGGAATTTCTTTAACAAGTGTTCTTCACTATATTACAATTTTCTTATCGTATGAATACTTGTTTATAAAACTACATGATTATAAGTTAAAAATTTGCCTGAGTATGATAACATATCAAAATTGCTTTACGATCTGAAAAATAGTATCTTTATCGCGACAAAACAACTTTTGATGTTATAAAAATAACCTGAAGCGAACAGTGCAAGTTCTCCCAATAATAGTGTTTAAGTTCAGCTGAAATCCTGTGTTTTTCCTGAGATAAATCTTGGCACCTCTGCAGAATTGATAAACGACTTAATAGAGTGAAAATAGCGATTTATTGGACCAGGTTGAACTCTTGTGGCTTCAGCTTTCGATGCAGACGTTGCCATGGGCAAAATGGCCGCCAGAACGGCCAAACATCCACTGCAAAAACAAATGCGCATGAGACAAGAAAAATGACACCATATACAAATTTTCTGCCTGTTTTTTACAAGTTCTCGCAAGCTATGAACTCTCTTCAGTGGATCTTCTTCCAAACCGAATATGAAACAGGACATTTTGTGAGAGAAGATGTGCCATTAGTGAACGATTTAGGTGAACATTGTACAAGATCTTTTTGCATACCGTGCTAAATTTAAACGGTGCTCAGACGTCCATTCTAGTGTTCATATCTATACATGTAGGCCTACATTTGTTGCAATGGTTTCAGGCACTATCGGTTGTAATACTAATATGTCGACTTGTTTATGCTATTTCGAGGTGAAATACTTGTTTTCCGCGTTTCAGTTTTCCTGAATTAAGTTTCGTCTGGACTTTCGACCTCCTAACCGATCGGTGTGATACTAAGAGGGGTTGTGGGACATTTCGCCGGTAGGGCTGTATATAAGCATGCAGCGCTGCGCCGTGGTGTATATGCGTCTGACTATGCTCATCTGACGTTGTGCATTATTGAACATGTTTATCACTTCTGGAACCAGACAGAAAGAATTTCAGCACTGATGCAAAGTCATCTCAGTGTATTAAAAAAAGACCAGACACCATCCCAAGTCAGCGTGCACTCCATGTTTACAAATGAACTCTGCACATTGGTGTATATATACATTTTAATTCGCAACCTGCCAATTTGGCGCGTGAATAATGTGCGTTCATACTTGAGAGTGTCCATGAAGGAATGCAGGTTTCGACTCTTCACGAGAAGATGTAAACTATTTGGGAAGAAGACGGCACAATAATTGTTTGTTGAAATAATTGTCTTCTCCTCGAGAGAGAAACCTCTCTGCAAAATGGAGACGAAATTCCGGACAGTTCATAACCTCAAACTCCAAGGGTTTCCTTTTAAAATTTCCTGATTGAATTCCACACTTTGTCATGATCTGTGTTTGTTATTTTGGCGCGGAGTCCCTTGAGAATTTCAAAAGGAGTAGGAATAAACGAGTCGGTTCGGTACAGAGGGACAACATGCGTCAGTCTACGGCGTGCAGCAAAGCAACTTCCCCTTCACAACAACAATACCATGACTCTCTGCTCTCACTTTATGAAAAGATGGCGGGGCTCTGGAGGAGAAACTGGGAGCACTGACCTACACAACAATGAGGATGTCACCCTCGACTATAAATAAAAATGTCCTCACAATGGTGACCACTTTGAAAGATACCATTAATTAGCTTCATACAACGCTGCTCGGAAAAGGGGTTGGTGAAAAACAGACTGGTTCCCTGCAGTGTTAACCTTGTGTATTGTGCAGGAGGGCCAGAACCAGCGCCAACACAGGCTCGACAAGAGATAATATTCTTGCTCTCACGGTCGAAATTAGATAACTTAACACCTTTATTCCAAATGAATAAAATATAATAATTACTTAAAAGTAACTAAATACGCAGTAATAATTTAATTCGCCAGTTCATGCTTGCATACGAACTTTTACCAATCACGGCCTCAATAAAGAGGAAGAAAGGAAATGAAGGGGAAAAAAGGGATTCTAAAAAGTGGTTATGTTTATGAATGGTGCCCCTGCATCGAATGATGCCAGCCCTCCCCCAACCGATTTTCGAATTTACCGGGTGACGCGCCTCCAATGACATTCCATGGGTGCGCCACTGAACCGCCTGTAGTATAACACGTAGGTTATTTCAACAAAATGCGGGAAAGGGCACGAGCCACGTGATATTTTAGAACTTTATATTTTTGGCATTCATGGGGCGTATACACAGGCTCATTCAACATTTAGCATCAATTATCCTCGCTCAGCCTGACCGTGCTCTGAATAAAATAAAAATCACTTCCAAGAAGAAACAGAAATTGACCTATAGGCTAAATGCACAGTTTTGGGTCTGTCTTGGGGTGGGGGTGCTCTAGCTTTTTATAATAATAATCGATTATATTTTAATTACAGAATTGTTGCAGATGTCCCAAATGATGTGGAACTTGCTATAACAATGATTAAGGAACAAGAAAACAACAATTCGAGTGAGGAACAATACGAGTCTGACCCGACCAGGGTATAGATCTCAGAACGAAGATAATTATGACGTCCGTCATTTTGCATCTCCAACGTGATACGTTCATTCTGTTAAAATCTGAAGCCCCCAAAATAGGCACGTATCTATCGTTTCTATGATATTACTGTTCCGTTACACCTGTTTAGAGTACAAGGAATTCCAATCGCACAGTTTTTCCTCCAATTCCCTCCTTTTCCAAACTCAGGTAAAGCTTCCGAGACCACACATGATGAAGGCAAGGCGACCTTTTGTTCCCCTACTCTTTGATGTGAGCAGGTTGAGATCAATATACCTGGGTCATCCGGATCATCACTCAGCAAAAACTGAAAAAGGACAGTGTGATTTACAGACATGGAGCTGTCATCCAACCCGACCTCTCACCACAAACACCATTTGTCATTCTCAAAAAAAAAACCCCTCTGTTCTTAAATGTCGAACTAGGTTCAAAAGAACTATGGAGGAGTAAGAATTGAAGTATCTTCTTTTTCCTTGTACCGCTGTGCTGCTCAAAAATACAGAAGGTATATACCTATACCTCGGTTGCTCGCATTTGTGATATCAAACTTTAAATATCTATGTGTACTTAATATCTCTGATCGAGGAACAACAAACAAAATCCCACATCTGGTGCCAAGTCTTCTTTGTTGATTTGTTTGCTTTTGGAATTTAAATAAAAGTAAACATTCTTATTATTCGTATAAACGCATAATCTGGAGAACAAAGCGCCGAGAGAGAACCATTGAATAAGCCATAAACAGTTTGAACAAACAGTTTGAGCAGCAGAAAGTTGGAAATGTACACAGTGAAAACTGAACTTAAGTTTGTATTGAAACTTGGGAAATCACAACTTAACACTAATACTTAACCTAAGGCGATTTTTTCCCATCTTGATTGAAATCTCTCTCTGCCGAGACTTGTAGTTGAGGTCATAATTACCTCTGCTTAGAAATGGTAATGACCACAAAACGAAATCTATAGCTGTGATGGATGGATACGTGACGGAGTATTGTCATTTCAATCCTGGCACTCCGTCGGGAGTCTTTTGAAATTTAACTTAGCTTAATCTTGGAATCGGAATGAGCGCTGAGTAAGTGGGGTATAGCAACTATTCCCGGGCAAATAAGTTGGTAATTCAGTACTTTTTACCTGGCAAAGAGGGCATAAAAACTTGCTACTTCGTTTTGTGAAGAATTGGGATTTATTTATTTCAAGAGAAAGTGCTGCCTGATTGTTTTCCTTCCCTGAGCAATCCCCTGTAATACCTCAGGCTAGGCAGATGTTCTTATTTTTCGATTTCGTGACAAGATATTTATGGTCGCAGTAAATTCAAATGCATATTATTTGGACTAAATTTATATCGAATCAGTTTTACATGTATGAGGCATTGCCCAAAGCATCCAAAGCTACTCTCTGGCTTGAATATCTCGGAAGAGGCCAGATTATTATTATTTTTATATATAAAATGTTCCTAAAATTATGAAAATTATCTGAAGACTTCTTCTTTCACTGCCAATGTTTGAGGAATAAAACGAAATTTAACTGATATTTTTGACAATGACTGTATACAGTGAACACATAGCTCGGAAATTTAAGAGCCCCACATGGACAATAAATGCCCGATAAAAAAAGATGAACAGCGATGGACAAACTGTGTGGGGAGCATAAACATCAGTGTACTCAGGTACAGTGGGGTCTTGAATTAAACCCTCTGACGTCATAAAGGATCGGAGCCAGAGGGTGAATGACCTGTGAGATTATCTTAGCCCATCGCAAATATAACGATCTCAAAACTTAACATATATAACACAACATAATATAACTTTCCACTTCTAGTACAGATTTATCCATCTAGATATTGGAACTATATTTTGGATGAGATCTGGTAGTAGGAATTTTTACAATGCTTATCGTGCGTCACAGTTTGGTGGCCTTTTTTTCCTTTCCCACGCGGTGCCAATCAATTACGCGTGTCTCCCGTAACTGAATGGAATCGTCCATTTTGGCACCTCCCCGTTTCTGTCAACATTTCTAAGAATGTATACGCACGATATATGCAGCTGATTACGATGGGGCCAACTTTTCAGCTATGTAAACGTACGCATTTATATTTACGCATAGCGCAGCATACCAGTTACAAAGTGGAGACAAAATTCGGGACCATTCTCGTAACTTTACCGGAGAAAAACTGGCCCTAGGATTGCTTTTTTCCTGTGGAAAACTCGTAAAGAAGATACAGTCTGGTCGAAGAGGATCTGTACTGATGTTGTGATGGAGTGGAATAGTTATTAAAGGTAAGTTTGGTGTGATTTTTGGGAGTGTTTTGTGGGATGGTTGAGTTGGTATCGCGAGAGGTGATAAGTGGGCCATTGTTAATGCCGTATACTGCGGTACCATTTGGTGGACACGACAACGTGCTCAGTATGTGCCGAATCATAGCTTCATCGCCCAACCGACCGCAAATCGAAATGGTTTAGACATGGAGGTGGAAAACCCATCGTAAAATCACACATTTTGCTTAAATTTGCAAACTGTTACGAATTTCTTGAAGATAAGATTTAATCGTATCAGTAATTTGTAGTTTTTGAAGTAAAGAAAGAGGTTTTGTAGTCGTTAAAAATGCGTCTGCTTTTTGGGGGTTTCGAAAGTTGAGAAGTTTCATTTTGAGTTGACCTGGTGTCGATGTCGTTTGGTTGGTTCGTGGGAAGAATGACCCTTTTATCCCAGCGTAGTGCCGCCATTGGGTCGCCTGAAAACCATGCGGTAGCTCTGAAAATGACTAGACCATGGGTGTTTTGTGATTTTTGGGGGAGGTTGTGGGAATTTAGACTTGATATCAAAGCAAAAAATAAAAATGATAAAACTAAGTGAGACCTTTTCTTTTTCTGTTTTTCTGGGTTTTTTTTTTGGTGGGGGCAGGGCAGTTGGGTTTTTCATTTCTGTGACTACATGTAGTTAGGGCCCCTCTTTAGTTTTGGTTAAGTTAGTGTCACAACCTTTTGTTTTATCAAACCATAACAACTTTTGCAACTTAAACTAAAGCAGGCTTCTATTAATTGTAATGACACTATTTTTTGTAATTTTGAATATTATCTTATTTGGTAGAAAATGAAATTTTCTTGCGCATTTCAGTTGAGTCAATGCAGTTTGGGCATTCACTGTGCGTCTTGATCATGTTGATTGCCATCTTTATTTTCATGTTGCGTTTTGTCTTCTTCATCGTCCTTTTAACTCGTAATTTCCCTCAAAAAAACAAAACACTGCCCTCTATCCACTTGGTTTTAAATGTCCCTACTCGTTTGGTATTAAGTCTAATAACTTAAAAGTGGAATTTTGTTCTCTTATTATAGTATCAGGGGCTCGGGGCCCGTAGCTGCACAGTGCACAATCGCTAAAAACAATTGAAACAACTATTATGGTGTGAATGTTAAGAGATTAAATGGTTTTCTATATTTTGTCAATTTGTTTTTATTTATTTTTTATGTAACGTTTTTGTCTAGTCCCCAAAAAGTTTGGGTTTGTATTTACTTAAAACAATACAAGGCTGTAAACTTCCTTGTTAAGATATATGGGGGGGGGGGGGGGGGAAGTATTAGTTTCTAAAAATTATGAAAAGGTTTTAGCAACTTGTGTATATAAAAAAAAAACCTATTCTTCAAAAAACTATTTCATTTAAATTGTTGGTGCTCCATACAGTAGTGATGACATTTAAAAACTGAAGCGATGACATTAAAAAAGGGGATGAGTGCATTCCAGCTTTGTACTTAGTTCCAAGAACTGAAGAGCCATTCTGATTTGTTTTACTATCAAATATTGGACCTGGGCATCTGGAACGGTTTAGATGAGGTGACTGCAAATAGCTCTGATGAGGCTCCAGGGACCGCTGGATGATTTCAACATTCAAGAATTTACTTCGCACTGAAACCTGGGAACATAGATGTGCCCCACGATGGCATGAATGTCATCATTAATAACAAACATTGCAGCTGTTGAACGTGTTGTCATTTGGTGATTAAACTTACCATGACATGGTAACCATGGTTTTTGATGAAGACCATGCACAGATCATGTCCAGCATCATTCAGTTTTGCATGTGAACCTATTCCTTTATTTCACATTTACGCAGAGCTGCTGTGCTGCTTATTTGTGGAGCAAAACTTTGTAGTATAACTGGAATGTTTTGTAAAATATCTCCGCTATATAAAAAGTATCAGAAATTGATTGATCACTGTCCAACAGTTGTCAACATTTATGAGACCTCAGGCCTTCAAAAAGTATTGAAGGCATGAAATCCGAGCATTCTGGAGGAAGACAAGTTGTAATTTGATATTTCTGTGTAGGTAACAGGTTTACGTTGGGATTGAATTTCATAGAACTTTTCACATTTAAATGGCAACTGTGGTCAAAGTGAACATTAGTGAATCGGGTAAATTCTGGGGAATAGAATGAATGAATATCTCTACATGTTCAAGAAGCCTTTTTTATAGTTTTTTTTGGCCAAGAACATCACCATTTTATTGTATTTTAGACTTGGGGTCTAAGCATTACTGAAAAGTTTGTAACTTTCAATGCCTCAATGCATGTGGCTTTTCACTCCACACTAGTCAACGTAAGCGAAATTACTTTGAATATCCCAGACTTTGTTAAGCCTGTATTTTTTCCAGTTGTAATTTCTAATGGAGCCAGAGCCTCAAACTATTTCATAATTCACATGTCCTTGGTTGTGTGTTTTTTGGTTGTGTCAAGCAGTCTAAGCCTTAATCTGGTTTAAGCTTAATCTAAATTTCCCAGGGTACATGTACGGTACATGTACTGTAGATGTCTTGTACACTTTAACACATTCCCAGATCTGTTTGATGGATCAGTGCAACAAAAGATTCATCTTAGTCCATGTAGTGTACTTTGATTTGCAAAATTTACTACATTTAAACTGTGACTGTACAAAGTGTATATGTTCAATCACTCACAGCACATACAGGCTCTGTGCACATTCTTCAATTACCATTGAAATGAAATTTCAGTTAATTTATATGAATAAACATGTTTTTTGATTTGCAAGATCTACTTCATTTAAACTGCGAATGAACAATCACCCACAGTACATGTACAAGCTCTCTGCACACTATTGGAATTACCATCGAAATGAAATGTCAGTAAATATACATTCATGAGCAAAACAGTTTTTTTGGAAATATTTTCTTTCATTTAGTACATAGGAAAGAACAATTTACAAAATGAGCCTGCGCTAGTTGGTATCTAGTCGCATATTTCAATTGCCTTTTATATTTGTAGCAATTACAGCATAGTGTAGCATTCGAATGGAAGGCATTTTTTTTGGTGTCCAAATGTTTTAATTGTTTGACTTGGTTAATCTACACAAACTGAAATTAGAAACTTTGAAATGTCAGGATTGATTGTGCGGAGTCACCCTTCCTGGATGATTAACGTCTCAAACAAACATGATTGATGTGAGATGAGTTATGAAACGTGGCTGTAATGAGAGTAATTGTGTTTGGCTTGGCTCTGGTAACACTGCAAAAGACGTGGCATTTGACTTTCTGAGTGACAGTTTCACCCTGCCGAGAAATCGGCAGGAATGCTTCGGAGACTCTTCTACCCGTCCAGAAAAGCCAGCATCATCCTCAGTTTACCTGTCAGTGAAATACGCCGAGCATGCAAGCTGTCACGAGCTGGCGCCGCGACAAAATATTACAAGTTATCTCAAACATTTTCATTGGACAGCGTGTAAGTGGGGTTTGGTATCGCTTGTATCAGTGTGGTATCAGTGCTGTCTTCATGACGGTATTTATATCACTCCATGTTCTGATTACCCGGCTCCAATCCCGATTGGAATTTCATGCACACTTCTGAAGGAAAGAGGATTAAGTGGGTTTGTCCCAAGTGAAGAGGCTGCCTGGAGTAGCATGAATTTTCCATCAGCAGGGCAGTCTAAATGGGGTTTTACGTTGTATGACTGTGGATTGGGATGGAAGATGCAGAGTGCAGCTACAGGCCACAACATGTGTAATCAAATCAGATGAAACTGTAAGCGCTTGAAAGATCCCATCTTATATCCATGACCCTACCCCATCCACACTATGGAGTTACACCGCAGCATTCCTGGACTAGTTTGTTTATCTTACAAGCCAAAATTGGCCTTGCAACATACCCAAGTATGACCAGTAACTGTTGCAACAAGGAGGAATCTGTCACGGCCAAGCTGAACTCTGCTAACTTGGTGCTAATAAAACAAGTCATTGGAATTGGAAACTGGTGGAAAGGTGTGTCCTGTCGAGATGAACCAAAATTTATGATTCTTTGTTCAGAGAAAAGTAATAAATTAAAACAAAGTAATGGGAGCTGTTCAGGAATTATTGTTTATCTTCAATGTAGGCTAGGCTTCTATGAAGTGCAATTATCTTCCCGGAATTAATGTAAAAAACCAATTGTTTAGAAAGTGCAATTCCAGGGCATTTTTTTTTCAAAGAATTAGTTGGTGCCACTGTGCTGGTATTTTCAACTAAAACCTCATTCTGAAATACATGTACTGGTACTTATAACATGTCAGGCAACAGTTCTTGTTTGTTAGATTAATTTATGCATTTGTTTTTTTTCTGTTACTCTGTGTTACTGGTGTGTATAGTTCCTGTGTTTACAAACCAACAGGCAACACACTTTGTTATCCAATGTTTTGTTCTGCTTGGGCATTGTTCCCTGGGATCTGAAGTACCGTACAAACATGTTTTTGTACCCCTTTGGTAACCCCCTGCACCCTGTGTTTGATTTTTCACTTTTCCCATTAAAAGTCAATAAACAACAAAGCACTGATGAAAGTGTTTAAATGTATTTAATTTTAGTGTTAGCTATGTCTTTATTGTTTGAATTATGCATGATCTTGATAAAGCCCCCCTCCTAAATAAAAAAAAAATCCACAGATTTGTTTCTCTTCTAAGGAGGAAGAATGTGATAGCCAAACAACACATGTTTACATTGTGATGGTGGCATTACATACATGAATATTCTGCTTGGAATGTGATGGTTCATGTCATTACTTTTGTTCATACTGTACTAGTCCTAGAATGAAAACATACCCCTTGTTTATCCCATTGTATTTGGTCTGGGTACCACCTTAACACCCTTATTTCTAGAGAAGTTGAGACCTCCTCCATGGGTTGCATTACACCAAGCCTCTTGTTGAATTGGACAACAAGTCTGCGCAGCAAATTGTGTTTTGTCTCGGAGGGACTTGAAGCCAACTTGTCCAAACATGAACATGTACCCTTGACCTCTAGATTGAGGCCAGTTTAACCTTCTGTCATGCTGTTCTCTTGACTGTACACTTGGGTCTTGGAAGAAAGCTTTTGCACTAGTTGCAAGGCTATTTGCACGTAAGGTAAATGTTGATGTGAAATTGTGAATAAATCTCACTGGATAGTGTACTCTTTGACTTGTCTCTTTCTTCATTTATCAATTTTGTTTAAAATGGTATATTGAGATGAGGAATCTATCAGTCTTTAGTCATGGACATTTTATTTCATTATGAAATTCTGGAATTTGTCTTTTAAGTAAATGTTAGAAAAGTAGGATTTCAAATGGAGGACAATTTCTTTTGAAATTTATTGAAGTGCGTACATGTTAAGTTAAAGATTTATCGAAAATATTCGTTCAAGAAGGGATGTTTGCTTAAGTTAAATGCGAGAGAGAGGTAGTCTGCAGGCCACTCACCCCACTTTGCGCCAAAATTACGCTTTACAATAATTGAAGGATACATTTCTCTGTGGAAGTGATACATGCATGTAAAAACTGCAAATCCAGCAGTATTTACTTAGTACAGGCTGGCAGGCTTCAGTAGATCAGCTATTTTTCCTTAAAATGCTGACATTTAAAGAAAAAAACAAAGCAAGACAATTTTTGACAGCTTTGCCAGACACAAAGGATAATGGCCCAACAATTATTTCAAGATCTGGAAAAGTAGTTTAATGAATGGCTGATAAGAATTCCAAATGGTTGCCACTTCCTCAGGTATTGTTAAAAGCTCCCTCAGGACCCAAATACAGGAAGTTGTTATTTTACAGGGACTGGGATACATTTCTTGGGTTTTGTCCGTCTTGTTGAGGTAATTAATAATGAATGGTGCGGACCTAGCAGTTTACAATTGATTGAACTGTGACTTTTTTTCACCTCGCGTCTGGTGTGAATTCAATTTGATTTTTCATCCCCCCCCCTATCCTTTGTGAAATCATGCAAGACAAAGGGGACCCTGGATGGATAAAACTGGGGCCACTTTTTTAATAATCTCATAAAATATCCGGCAAACAGTTTGGCCATTTGGAAACACAAGACCCTTTGTTAGAAATATGAAAATTGATTCAGAAAGCAGAACTCATAAGTTTTGAGTTACAATAATTTTTATGACAATCAGAGGTTTGTGAATTTACAGAAGGAAACAAGAACAAGACCATTCCGAAGAAATTTTAACCCATCAGTGTAGGACAAGGTACTATTAGTTCATATCGTTGAGTAGTTGAATAAATGAATAAATTGTTTTTAAAAATTGTAAAACCACTGTATATCAGAATTCGCAGTGCCAAGTGATGGTGTGAACTATTTAAATCTCGAACAACACACAAGAATTCAAAGAGCCACGTGTATATCCAAGTACACAGTTTAGCATACGGTCTGCTCTTTTATTTCTTAATCTAAATGGCCCACAGTCCAAGCTTTCTGTTTCTCTATCTTGGCCGTTTGGGATCACTCTGTGTTTATTCAGTGATAGTGCAACAGGAAGTTCTGCAACGCCAACAACTTTTGATTCAAACAGGACAGTTGCCCCATTAAAATCCCTCATGGAAAGCTCCTAGGGCTGCATGCTTATTTACATTGATTCATGCCTTTATCTGGAGCGATGGTATTGTTTACCTAAATCCCCAACGCTGGTTAAATAAGTAATTATATAACCATTGGTGATTACTGAATGCAAATTAATACAGGCCCTGACTAAATAAATATTTTTTTTATCAAATGCCTATGCCAAGTCGGTCGAAAGCTTTTTAGATTGCAATAAAAGGTATTTTAAGCTTCTGTTTTTCTCCATATTGCATTACCTACAGATACATAATCCGAGTAACAAAATATCGAGTGGTCACAAAAACAGTCTCACGTCTCACTTTACCTGCATGGGTTGTTTAGAGAATCACAAACTCATGCAAAGTCACGCCCCTTATACCGGTACATAGCCTCCTGTGTGTTTTGTTCCATGAATAAAACTTGGACAAATACTACTAAAATATTTATTAAATAAACTACTGTGTTTAAAATTTTGTTTGGGGCTATGCATGCGCCTACATCCATGTCACTGGTAATTAATGCCCAAGCCTGGATACTTCCATGAAAATCTTGATACCAGTTACATGTACTTATTCTTGGATGGCACAATTCTATTTGTTTTGGGCATAAAGGGCTGGGGGTGTCAAAATTTGCCATATATATAATCAAATAAAATTTATCGTTGACTGCGAAGACGTCAGTAACACCCAATGCTATACAGTAATAAAAGAATGCTGCTGTTCAGAGCCTAACACCTTCATGTGCAATGTTGTGCATTACGAATTCAAAGTGTCTTAGACCATTTACATATGTACAAGTAAGTACATGTACATGCATTTCTTAAGGATTTTCGACACAAATGTCTTATACATCTATATATCTTTTTATTTCTTGAAATGCAGATGTTTGGGACCTAAGGAAGTGAGCATCAGAGGTTCTCAGAAATTGACTGGTCTTAACAACTGACGTTGATCATTCTACTTTAGTTTCTTTCTTGGTAAAACCAAAGGTAAGAATCCGAAGCTAAGTGATCTCAGAATTTTGAAGAGAAACGGATATAAAGAACTGTTTTTAATGGACTTGTCTGTTGGAACAAAAGTTCAGTATTTATCTGAGGAAGCCTTGCCCATTATGGAATATGTAACATAAAATGCAAATTTTGCTTTTCTCCTCAACATTTTTGGTTCAATGTGTAAAGAATTCCCTGTTTGGAACCTGGTTTACAATACAAAATATGAGACCAAAAAACCTAAAATCTTTAGATTAAAAAAAAGGTGAAAATCACCAGGGCCCAGTTTTGTGCTCATCACATTAAGCGCTTAGTTCCATGAACCAAAGCTGCACTTCTCAAGGAAGCTTTCTGATGCAGAATTCAAGTAAATATCCAGCGCCACTGTGTTTGTGTTTATAAATAAATACTTGCTTCAAATTAGGAATTCATTGAATTCTTTTTTTTTTTAACAAAGACGGAGTTGAAAACCCAATCAATTTTGATGAGTTCATGGGAACCAATATCAGCGAGGGAAATCCAATGGCTTTGTTTGAGCAGACGTAGTTCAATTGAAAGTTAATAATTCATGATGACTTGTTTTTTAGTCTTAAAGGGAATATGCAACATTTGCAAACATCAAAAAACAAAACTACCAAATAATCACAAAATACCTTACTGGACTGTTAGTGAATGACAGTCTAAGACATCCTGTAAAATCATGGCACCAGGTGTGCTGTCATTTTCAAGAAAAGTGGTATTTATGTATAAATTTCCAACACTGGTCGGAATTTTGTTTGCAATCGATTACACATCTATGCCAGCTAGACTGATTCCCTGAGCTTACAATTCTCCGACATCTATGAATTGCTCCGTTTTATCTTAAGTGGGATCGGGGAACCAGACTACAAGAAAATGATTTTTTTTTTGGTTTTTCCAGCATCTGCAAACCCGAAACTTCAAACAAGTCAGTGTAACAATATTTGCTATAAACTAACCCCCAAATCCATCCATTTGTAAAAAATATAGCAAAAGCAAATGTTGTGTATTCCCTTTAAACATGGTGCCAACTACCGGTATTTGTTTTCAAATGTCATTGTTAGTGAGTCATTAATATTAATACTAGATTTGATACGTATCATTACCAAGTGATGATTATGGTAATTGAAATGGAGGTGGATGACAATTACTGAACAATGGTTTTACGGACAAGTTGCAAACAATGACAAAAAGTCAGACGGGAACTGCTTTCCCTCCACATTTGCGAAGCCTTATGCACTATGCAGATTCCACTAAGGAAACAACTGGTGTCGATTTACAAGTTAACCAAAGTTTATAAATACCTGAGACAGTTTACCCATTCCTATTGGTCAATTGCCCATCACGTGGGTGTTTTTAAATGGTTGATAAAATATGAGATCATATGCGATAAATCAGCCAATATGCAATACCTTTTATTTGATTTAAACAGGCAAGAAAAAAAAAAGCGGAGACAAAAAAAGAGGCAAGGAGATCATAAATTGATAACTCATTAATATGCGATATGGAGTTTACAAGGACTCTTCATTCATTGTTATAAACCACACAGCAGTCATATGTATATGCAGGTCACTGGCCTAAGGCAGTCCAGGGCAGCGCCTCAGTGTTTATTTGAGTTGAGATGCACCTTGGTAAGAGTCGTTGGAAACATTTGCCAAAATGACAGCTGCCTAAATAAAATCCATATCTTTGCCTAACATCAACATTGTGTGGGTGGCATGAAAAGTTCAGCGGTTTGAACAAAAGAAGACTCGTGGAAAATGACAGGCTGACAGGTTTTGTTAGAAATGTCACTGTTTTTTTGTTTTGAATTTGAAGCAGTGAAAGCCCTTTAGTTCAACAATTGAGGAGTGGACTTTTATGGTACATAACTTTTATTTTGAACAAGGTGTTAATATCAAACCCTTTTTCTGTTTGTTTGGAATTAAATCAAATTTAAATTAATTTTGTCCCGGAATTTCTAGCTATCAACGTCTATTTTACATTTAGCGCTTCTGCTCAAGTACGGCTGATCGATTGTTTCACAGGTAATTTCTTCTCAATTTTTGATTCTGAACGAACCAAATCAAACAAAGGTGATGGTTGACTGGACCCCAGTGTTTCTCAGCATTTACTCAGAAATTGAGTGCTTCATGCTCGCTCCTAAGAGTCACCATAGAGTCACTTGTTTGCCAAAGTATGGCCCAGTAAGCAGCAGGTGTTTCAAGCCTTCTCTACCTGTTTGTTGATCTACCTCCACACAACAGGATCTGATCAGAGTCCAATCTAACTAAGTTGATCCCCTACTTCTCCCCTCCAGTCACCTTTGACCCCTTCACTCTGTCCTCATGGTGCTGATTTCTCCGAGCCCAATACGATCATCTTCTTTCTTTGTCCAAAAGGCATGTTTGTTTTGAGTAGTGTGATCTGATTGATTATACCTGTTCTTTTTGTGATTAATATTTGCGATACGGGCATTAAGATAGCTATTGGTTATGAACTTGTAGTTCGTGTCAACCGCATGCACATTATGTATACCAAAAATAAGGAATAAAGAAAGAAGAAATGGGTCAACCTGTTGAAACACCCATTGTGAAAAATATGGGACGAAACTTGAAGTTGATAGAAAAAGTCATTGATTTTACACGCCAGATTACTTAGAACAGATGTCCACATACGTAAATGCACTTCAATAACAATTTGCTCTTTGTCTCCTTTATTTCCCTTGCACTGTTAATGGAAAAACAAACTATATATAAATGTGACTCTTCAGAAAAACAGAACACTCAATCTTTTCCGGCAATTCCCAAGCTTTCACCCCTCCCACCAGTAAAATATCTTCAGTTGTTTTTTCAAATTTGCTGTTTCATACTTTCTAATCCATCACCATAATACATGTAGCTTGTTTGTGAGGTATGGATCTTTATTCTGGGATTTTTGGGCCCCCCCCCTCCCTCTCCATTGCTAAGAAGGAAAGAATAGAGAGGCATATTACTGCATGTGAACGATTGTCCTCGTTTCTAATGAGGTATTGATCTGTGGTGAAGTAGCCTTTATAAGTTCCAAGGAAAAGAACGTCATCTAAAGACTTGGACAAAAGACGGTAGCTGCTAATGCTCCACCTCAGAATGCAAAACGCACATTGCCCACATTCCTGTACTCCAGCTTAATCTTATCTTATGCAACTTTTTTTCCTGAGCTTGTAGGGGGAGGGGTATGATTTTTAATCTTGTCTTCTGGGAGAAAGAGTGACAAGACTGATTATGACTGAGAATTTGAAGATAATGAAATAATTTTGGTTTTTTTTGGATGTCATGTGTTGTTGCTTGAGAAGATTTGGCCAAACAGACCCTGAAATCCCAGTCGCAAGGACCTCTTTGATAATAACTCACAGTTATTTCTGTTTGGGGACTTTGTTTTCACTCAATATCTTCTAAAACATATTCATTTATCAAATAGGCTGTGAGTTTCAAGATGGAAAAGAAACAAAAATAGAACTTTGCATTTGTCCCCCCCAAAAAAGTTGTCCCAATGTCTCAACCATGTGGAGACAGCAAATGAGTTTACTTCAGTAATAGAAAAAGGTTTCGAGAAAATAGTGAAAATCTGCAGAAATGTTCAGCGCACCCTCTTTGCCATTGTGTATTGCTAAATCCTACAGTGTTACTATTGTGCAGTTTGTTCCAAGTTCTGGTTCCTTTGTATTAACGATAAAAGAATTTTAAAAATGGCTGTTTACTAGAAAAATGGTAGCATTGTTGCCTGGAATTGAACTGCTGCCAATCTGGGGTCAACGTGGGATTTTTTCCCCATGGAGAAATAAACTATGTTGTTTGTTGCCATGGGTATTTCTGTGGACAATAGTATATTTGTGTCATTATTTACGGCCTGTCAATGTTTGTGGTCTTGTTTTCCTCAGGACCAAATGTTGTGTGTTCAGTGCATATGTTTGTTGCTTAAAGGGAGTTTTTCTCAGATCAAATGTAATTATCAAATCCACGTTTATATTTAACATTATATAGTAATAAAAATAATTATTTATTTATTAAGCGCCAATTTTATGTGCAAATATTCAAATGCGCTTTACGCTGATAAAAACTGGATACATTAAAAATACATCGAAAACCGGATAGGCCTACAGTAAAAAATATGTAAAAAAAAAAATACTTAAATCGACACAATACATAACCAAGAAATACACCAATTATAATTTATGTTGAATGAAATGAATTAAAATCATCACTTGCATTACAAAGTACAAACCCAAGCATTTTGAAAAATGGCCTAGCTTTAAAGGTTAAACATTCTAACTTCCATTCTACTTGTGTAAAAGGATTATGGTAGAATTTAAACAACTCTTGGCTTGGGTTGAGTCGGTGTCGTCTAAGCTTTTAGGTCAATTAGATGGTTCTATCTGCTGCCAAGGGATCCAGAATGCGGCACTTGGAAGGGATGTAAGAAAGGCGGCCGCTTAAATTAAAGAGCAAAGGACCTACAGAATGACAATGTGGATGTCTCGTTGTTAGTAGCTCTGACAGTTCCAAAAATGTTTTGCAGTGTGTATTCCCTCAAAACTGATATATTTCTAAAGGTCCTTCAAATTGTGAAATCAATGGTTAGCCATAATGGTTGGACGATAGATGTGCTTTTGAAACGGAGCCCTGCTTTCCTCAAGTGTTTTCAACATGATGGATGATGTCGATCTGGTTTTTTTTAAGGCTTCACAACATCTGGAAGTCCATCGATTGAGATGTTTCATTTTTTTATTTTTAAAAGTTGTAAAAAAGAAGAAGAATATTTACCGAGGTAACAAGATTGGAAAGCATCTGGCTGAATGATGACAAGATAACAGTGTTATTCCTGGGGGGAAGTGGACTTCTTTGGGGCGTTAATGAAGCCAACACATGGGAGAGTGATAACGCAAGGCAACATGTGCACCCTCCGGCAAATCAAATGACAGATTGCTTTAATTCATTGGCCGAGATAGTTAAAGGGTTGGATCA